AGTGGTGGTGGTAGTAGTAGTAGACATTTGAGTAGTGGTGGTATTGCTGGTAGAAGTAGTAGTAGTAGTAGTAGTAGTAGTAGCAGTAGTAGTGGTGGTGATGGTGATGAAGTGATGGTGGTAGTAGTAGTGGTGGTGGTAGTAGTACAGGTTGTGGTAGTTGTAGTAGTAGTGGTGGTGGTGGTAGTAGTTGTAGTAGCAGCAGTAGTAGTAGAGGAGTAGTGGTGGTAGTAGTAGTAATGTGAAGTAATTAGTGAGGTGATGGTAGTAACATGTAGTAGTGTAAGTGAGTGAGGTGAGGATGATTGTGGTAGTGGTAGTGGTTGGTGGTAGTAGTAGTAGAGGTGAGTGGTGCTGAGTAGAAGTAGTAGCAGTAGTAGTGGTGGTGTGGTTGTGTGATTGTGGTAGTAGTAGTGGTGGTAGTAGTAGTAGTAGAGGTGAGTGGTAGTAGTAGCAGTGGGTGGTGATGGTAGTAGTATTAGCAACAGTAAGTAGTAGTAAGAAAGTGTTGGCCCAATTAGTAGTAGTAGTAGAGGTGTTGGTGCTGATAAGTGGTGTAGTAGTAGTGAGTGGTGGTGGTAGTAGTAGTAGTAGTAGTAGTAGCAGTAGTAGTGGTAGAGATGGTGATAGTGGTAGTAGTAGTGGTGGTGGTAGTAGTAGTAGTAGTAGTAGTAGTAATTAGTAGTAGTAGTGGTGGTGGTAGTGGTGATAGTAGTTAATAGAAGGCAGTATTAGTGGTGATAGTGGTAGTAGTAGTGGTGGTGGTAATAGTTTTAAATAGGTGGCTTGGGGTGGTAGTAGTAGTAGTAGTGGTGAAGTGGTGGTGATTATGGTGGTAGTAAGTAGTGGTGATTGTGGTAGTGGTAGTGGTGGTGGTAGTAGTAGTAGGGGTGAATTGGTGATGGTGATGAGTGGTAGTTGTAGTGAGTAGTAGTAGGGGTTGTAGTAGTAGCAGTAGTAGTGGTGTGAGGTGAGTGATTGTGGTAGTAGTAGTGGTGATTGTGGTAGTGGTAGTGAGTGGTGAGGTTAGTAGTAGTAGTAGAGGTGGTGGTGCTTGGTAGAAGTAGTAGTTGTAGTAGTAGCAGTAGTAGTAGAGTGGTGATTAATGATAGTGGTAGTAGTAGTGGTGGTGGTGGGTGATAGGTTGTGGTGTTGTAGTAGTGAATGTGTGGTGGTGGTAGTAGTTGTATTAGCAGCAGTAGTAGTAGAGGTAGTGGTGGTAGTAGTAGTAGAATTGGTGCTGGTATGGTAGTAAAAATAGTAGCAAGTACTTGGTGGTGGTGGTAGTGATTGTGGTGAGTAGTGAGTGGTGTGTTGAAATGTGTAGTAATAGAGAGGTGAATTGAGTAGTGAAGTAGCAGTATAGTAGTGAAGTAGTGTATTGGTGTAAGTAGTGATTAAAGGTGTTAGTGGTGGTGAGTAGTAGTGGTGTGAGTGGTAGCAGTGATAGTAGAAGTGGTGGTGTAATTAGTGGTAAGTAGTAGTAGTAGTAATAGAGTGATGGTGATGGTAGTGAGCAGTAGTAGTGGTGGTGGTGATGGTGGTGCAGTTGTAGTGAGTAGTGGTGTGAGTGGTTGTGGTAGTAGTAGTAAAGAGGTAATTGGTGGAGGTAGTAGTAATGAAGTGATAAGTAGGTATATTGTCGTGAGGTGGTGGTGATTGTGGTAGAAGTAGTGGTGGTAGTAGTAGTAGTAAGAGGATGGTGGTGGTGATAGTAGTGGTGGTAGGTAGTAGTAGAGGTTGACTAGTAGTACAAGTGGTGGTGGTAGTGGTAGTAGTAGTGGTGGTGATGGTAGTAGCAGTAGTAGTGGTGGAATGGTGATGATGGTTTAATGGTAGTAGTGGTAGGTGGTAAAAGGTAGTAGTAGTAGTATTCGTGGCAGTGGTGGTAGTAGTAGTAGTTGTAGTAGCAGTAATAGTGATGGTGGTGAGAATTGGTGATAGTAGTAATAGTAGTGGTGGTGGTACTAGTAGTAGTAAGAGGTGGCGGTGGTAGTGGTAGTGGTAGTAGTAAGTAGTAATAGAATTAGTAGGCAGGATGGTGAGTGACAATGAGTGGTGGTGGTAGTAGTAGTTGGTAGTGGTAGTAGTAGTAGTAAGCTAGTAGTAGTAGTGGTGGTGGTGAGTAGTAGTAGTAGTAGTGATGGTGTGTGAAGTAGTGAGTAGTAGTTGATGGGTGAGTGATTGGTAGTAGTGAGTTGTTGTGGTGGTGGTAGTAGTAGTAGTAGTAGTGGTGAAATGGTGAGTAGTAGTAGTAGTGGTGGTGAATGGTGTTGGTGGTGGTAGTAATAATGTAAGTAGTAAGTAAGTGGTGAGTGGTGGTGGTAATAGTAGAAGTGAATTGAATGGTTGGTAGTAGTAGTAGTGGTGGTCATTCGGTGGTGGTGGTGGTGGTAGTAGTCGTATTGGTGGTGGTAGTAGTAGTGGTAGAAGTAGTTGTAGTGGTGGTATTAGTAGAAGTGGTAGTGGTGGTGGTGGTGGCAGAAGTAGTGGTAGTAGTAGTTGTAGTGGCAGTAGTAGTAGTGGCAGTGGTGGTGGTAATGGTAGTAGTAGTAGTAGTAGTAGTAGTAGTAGTGTAGTAGTGGTAGTGGTAGTGGTAGTGGTAGTAGTAGTGGTGGTGGTAGTGGTAGTTGTAGTAGTAGTGGTAGTAGTACTGGTAGAAGTAGTAGTAGTGGTAGAGGTAGTAGTAGTAGTGGTGGTGGTGGTAGTGGTAGTAGTAGTGGTGGTGGTGGTAGTGGTAGTTGTAGTAGTTGTGGTGGTGGTGGTAGTGGTAGTGGTAATGGTAGTAGTAACAGCTGTATTTCTGGTTGCTGTGATGGTAGTTGTAATGATGGTAATATAGTTGTCACAGGTGGGCGGTGGGATAGTCTTGTGTTTAATAGAGTTCGCAGAAGGTCCCAGCATGGGTACAATGTGTGTGACACCCACCACCATGATATTGTTAAAAGCGGCGTTAAACCAAATTCAAGCACTTACTGTAGTTACAAGGCATGGACAGCGGGTGTTACAACTTGGAACTATGATTCGTGCTTGCTGGTACGCCTGGGACAACCATTCTAATTTTGGGGGAGAGAAGATACTTTCTGAATTGAGAAAGAAGCTTATAATGTTATGATGGTTTAGTTGTACGCCGTTGTAGCAATATTGCAGCAACGGGGGACACCAGAAATGGGTTTCACACACTGTGCCCATGTGTGGAATCGAACCCAGGTTCTCGGCGTGACGAGCGAACGCTTAATCTTGGATTCGATTCCCCACCTGAGCATAATGTGTGAAACCGAAACCTCCTGGACAACATCTCATATTTTGGCTTACACCTTCCCAGTGAAGTACAGATTCTAGTACTATTTTGGGGTAGAGACCAATCCAAGATTAGAACCAGCACCTAATCGCCAGCTCCCAAAGGCAGCGACATAACCAACTCAGCCACCACAGCTCCCAAAAATGGAAATCTGACAACTGGAGTCATACATATGCATTTACATATACATACACGTATACATATGCACACCTGTGTAATTTGTAAGAGCACAGCTCCCGTAGCCAAAATCACGAATACACAATGCACCGTGAGTCATCCTAAAAACAGAAAGGGAAAACGTTCGTCGTAACATGAAGTGAACTGGGACAGATAATGTGCAATTTCTGATAATGTACTTTTTGGGTGATAATTGATGTGGATTTGACCCGAGACATGTTACATCCATCGTATACAAATTATTCTACATCTTATTCTCCTATGTAGTCATCAGCTTCCCATTTAGCAGCATATGTATGCTTAGAGACACATTTTTGTTTCAAATAAATGTGTGTGCGTGTGTCTTTTGAGTCGCGTCGTGATTGTATTTGTATTCTCAGTACGATGTAACACGGATTTAACCTCAGTTAATGTTTTGGACTATTGTTAATGCAACAATGAACTTCATCTCAGTCTTCGCGCGGCATTTTGGAGATATACACATAAAAGGGGAGAATTTATGGATGTCAACTTCTTTACAATGGAGAACATGACGTGTATTCTTACTCCTTCACTAAACTCACCAACATCTCAAGGGATGGCGTAAATCCAGCTAGGTTCCATGCAGGAAGCAAGAGTACTGTAAGTCCCCATGGTCCCTAGCATGGGGATATAACTTGTTGTTGGCAACCGAGATAGCATTCGGACGTTGGCCCAACGTTGGCAATGTTAGCAAAACCATTGCCAACGTTGAATGCCAACTATCTCGCCATTATGCGTTCTAACGTCCGAATGCTATCGTTGGTTGCCAACGTCCGAAGTTGGCTATATATTTCCGATATTCCTATCTGGGAATATATAGAAGGTGTTTATGTTGTATTGTTTTCTGTAGTTATGTTTGAGTGTTTACACATGAATTGATGTAATGTAAAACAAATTCGTTATGTTGAAAATATTATTGTCATGAGTTGATATGGTGAATCTCGGTGGAAATTGGCGAATTCTTAACACATTTGCACATGCTTTTCAGCAATTTGATGCATGATCCTGTTGCAACCCATCTGCATAAGGTTTGCAGTTGGTTCCCTCAGGTTGTAGAGAAATTCATCTTCGACTCTATTCTCTCTTAGTTTTACGCCGCTTTTAGCAATATTCCAGCAACATCACGGACGGGGACACCAGAAATGGGCTTCATACATTACATACCAATGTGGGGATTCGAGCCCGGGTCTTCGGCGTGACGAGCCAACGCTTTAATCATTAGGCTACCCTACCGCCCCAATTCATCTTCGATGTAAGCACACGCACGCATGCACGCACGCACACCTCTCTCTGCTAATGCGCGATTGTTTTAAATTATATCGTCCGCCCGGATAATATACATAGGGTGCATCGTTACAAGTGCACCGCCAGACCATGTTACGAAACTAACAAGAGGTTGAAAGCTATGACTTCGTAAATAATTTGTAGGTAACTATTTGCATTTTATAACGAGTTACATGAACGTTTGTCTTTCGGTGTGACTAGTTTTGTACGTAGAGGAAACAGACAGCTTTACATTTCCAATTCAACATGTCTGCCTCCTAGTGTTTGTTTCCGATTGAATTTTCCGGTTGTATACGTTCAGCTGCATATCTGTTGCACACATCTGTTGCACACATTTAATAATTATACTGATTTCCCAATGGTTCATCTGGGCTATGAGTGACACCGAGCTAGATAAAAAGGAAACCGAAGAAATGGCGGAAACGAAGAAGAGACGAGCTGGAGCAGGGTTTGCTATGATCGAGTTGATAAGCCGACTGGTTTTGGCTGTGATGACCAGATTTTGGAAGCTCTGCAGCACGGCTCTACTAATTATCCTGCTGGTGTTTTGGTTCGAGGGAGGAATGTTGGCGTCATTTCTTCTTGTCATGGCACTGTTAGGTAATCAGAATTCTGTAATTGATTCATTTTTGGGGACAAGATTGGTACAATATGCTTCTCGCCTATGTCGGTATTGTCGTGAGAAGGGAGCAATAGCATACACAATTAAAATACACAGCTTGGTTATTGTGAGAAAACACTGTCAAAACTGTTTTTCCGGTTATTTAACTTATTTGTTGAGCAATTGAGTGTTCACTGTGACGGATTCCAGTTATAGTCCGTTTGGCTCAAAAGCGGACCAATGAATTGCAATCTAACTCGAAAACTAATAAACATAAAATACTCAATGAAACGCTGATCATAATCAAAACATCATACCCACTCTGTGAGGTTTTTGCCGAATTTTTGTCCTAAAAATAAAAAAGTTGTTTAACGATCTATCATTAAAATATTGACACAGTTTACTATTTGTTACGAGGGAGGAATGCAGAGAAAGGGACAGCCAGGTGTTCGAGAGGCACGTTCACAGACAAAGTTATTTATTCATATCCGCCATATAGCTGGAATGTTGCTGAGTGTGGCGTAAAACTGAACTCACTCACCCATCAGCAGACACATTTTAAGATCCCTAGTGATGGAGACAACCATGTGTAGAGATTGGTGTAATTGAAACAGGCTATCATAATCGTAAGCGAAATGCATGAATGACACCAGAGGGAATGTTTCATTTATTCAACTGAAGAGGTGCATGTAAAAAGGCTTCATTTGATGTTTAGACTATAGCAAAATAACTGGCACAGTTATTCAAGAGAAAAGTTCTGTTTCTATATTTTGATCTCCTTTCTCCTGGGACTGGAAAATAGTCAAAAGTCAAAAGATGTTTATTGTACAAAAGGCCTCCGGCCCATATACAATGGAGTTAGGCATATACATTATACATATGGTGCAATAAGTAGTAATTAGTGATCCAAACAGCAAATCATGATACGGGCAGTAAATTACGTACAAGTAGTGAAATACGTCAACAAAACTTTATATCAGATTGTTACGTTTAATAAGAGCATAATTGATATAGTACAACAGTTTTATTATTACACGCAGGCCAGTTGATTAAAGAAGTAGTTTAAAAGCTAATTAAGGTGGCTTACATAGATAATATTCAGCTGTATATTTCGTACGCAATTCTTTATGAAAAGGACATACAAGTAAAAAATGGATTTCATTTTCAACATCTAAATCACACAGAGGGCACATTCTCTTGCATCGTTCAATATAAAAATGTCTTCCTTTGTTTACCATTATATTGGTCAAGCCTAACCTAAAACATATAAATGGATATCTTAATTTCTTTGATGTTAAGAACGACAGATATTTCTCCGGCTGGAGTAGTGATTTGTATATTCTATAAGAGTAATACCGTGAACTATTATGTATTACTGAATGCCATTCTTGATTAAACATATTAAGACTTCTTTCTCGAAACTGAGTTAAAAACAAACTTGGCTGTCAATATAGATCATACAAATTGATAATCAGTGACTAAATATTGATCAGTTATCAATAAATATTGGAGAATTAACTTTGAACAAAAAAAGTCTTACAGAAATCAACATATTTCATTTCACTGGTGTCTAGTGACATATTTCTGCATGGGCTACTAACAAAACAACATTCTGCACAAAATTTACAAGCAGCATGTGAATAAAGACATAACTTTGTGTATTGTGTGTGTGAATTAAAACCTGATTTCTTCAGAATAGTTTCTGTGTGATATTATCGATGACACAATTTTCACATCAATAATCATTAGTAATTCTTCCCATTGATGATATTTCTGATAAGCGAAATTTTTAGCCAGCCCTACATTCTTCGCTATATAGCAGAAATCAACTGAAAATTTTTCTACGTTAAGAAGTAAGGCTTATTTGCTCATAGTTTTACAAAGATAAAAGTTAGTAACACTGTAAATGTAAATTTCTGAATATGTCATGAACATGATAAACAGTATGGAAAAATAGCAATATGGCCAGTAAGACCTGCTGTGATCATGATGATAAAGTGGGGACGTTTGTGGCCATGGAGTAAACAACAAACAAACAAGACAATGTATCCATGGCATCAGACATGATAAATACATGAAATCCTTTGCTGGTACAGAGTAAATAATATTTAGTGCCTTTTATATCCTGATAGTCATGTCTGATATCTACATGATCTAACCTGGACATGGTAATCAATATTTGATGTGTGTTTTAGCGCTATATCAGGTTTTATCTGCTGCCACTAAACAGAGACTAGTGTTCACTAATGGTGTTTTTTCAGATGTTTGTCTGACCCATTGAAAATTCAAAGGACCCATAGAATAAAATTAAACACACATTTCAGATTTAACATGTCTTATAATTGGCATTGAAATTATTAACAAACATAAGATTTATAAACAGGAAACAAGTGTTACATGCCAGATATAACAACTTCAGTCAAAGTCATTCTGAAGCATACAATCAGACACTGGGACCAGTGGGTTGTAGACTTCTGTCACACCGTTGGCAAATCTGCCGAATTTGTCAGAGGGTCAGACACTATTCTTGAACACCTGCAGAGACTAGTACAACAATATGCTTGTTTTGAACTGACAGATATAACATACTAGTTTCTTTTTCCCTTGCACTTGCTGTATCCTTTAGTTGAACTTTGTATGACAAACTTTGGTTATAACTAGCTAAAATGAGTGTCCCCTTTGCATTTGTTTTAACCATACTGTATTTAGAAATGTCTCTGTTTATCAATCACTTTAATATAGAGCTTTGTTAACTGTAATACATATCACAAAATCCACGAGGAGTAACAATGCATTCCTAGATATCTGTTGTGTCAGTGTTGACATGTTTAAATTGGTTATGGGTCAAAACCTACATATTACATAATACTGATCATGTCATGTTAAAGGCAAGCAATGGCAGTGATGGTTGAGCTCTTCAGTTCTGCATCAAGCCATCATATTACAGTTTTGATTCTTGACTTCACAATAAACTCAAGTGATTATGTCTGATTTATCTCAGTCATCTTCCATTCTGATTGGTCTGTTAGCTGTTTCTAATTTGTGAGACTATGATATAGTTGAAAATAATTCACAGGTAATGTATCTCCTTTCTTAACCTTTAGCATGTATGATCATCACAAACTGAATAGGCTGAAAGAAAGCTGAAAGAGTCCATGCCAGTATTTCAACTCTCGTCAAGGTGTATGTTGGTCCCGTTGTTATTTCAGGGTTGTTCTACAATGCCCAGGACATGCTTCTGTACCACCCGGACCAGCCCCCCCATTCCAGGACGTACAATGTATGTTGGTCCCGTTGTTATTTCAGGGTTGTTCTACAATGCCCAGGACATGCTTCTGTACCACCCGGACCAGCCCCCCCATTCCAGGATGTACAATGTATGTTGGTCCGATGTTATTTCAGGGTTGTTCTACAATGCCCAGGACATGCTTCTGTACCACCGGACCAGCCCCCCATTCAAGGACGCATACAATGTATGTTGGTCCCGTGTTATTTCAGGGTTGTTCTACAATGCCCAGGACATGCTTCTGTACCACCGGACCAGCCCCCATTCCAGGGCGTTACAATGTATGTTGGTCCCGTTGTTATTTCAGGGTTGTTCTACAATGCCCAGGACATGCTTCTGTACCACCACCCCCCCCACCAGCCCCCGTTGTTATTTCAGGGTTGTTCTTCCCAGGACATGCTTCACCATGTATGTTGGTCCCGTTGTTATTTCAGGGTTGTTCTACAATGCCCAGGACATGCTTCTGTACCACCGGACCAGCCCCCCCCATTCAAGGACATACCATGTATGTTGGTCCCGTTGTTATTTCAGGGTTGTTCTACAATGCCCAGGACATGCTTCTGTACCACCCGGACCAGCCCCCCCATTCAAGGACGTACAATGTATGTTGGTCCCGTTGTTATTTCAGGGTTGTTCTACAATGCCCAGGACATGCTTCTGTACCACCGGACCAGCCCCCATTCAAGGACGTACAATGTATGTTGGTCCGTTGTTATTTCAGGGTTGTTCTACAATGCCCAGGACATGCTTCTGTACCACCGGACCAGCCTCCCCATTCAAGGCCCCCACGTTACAATGTATGTTGGTCCCGTTGTTATTTCAGGGTTGTTCTACAATGCCCAGGACATGCTTCTGTACCACCCGGACCAGCCCCCCCATTCCAGGACATACAATGTATGTTGGTCCCGTTGTTATTTCAGGGTTGTTCTACAATGCCCAGGACATGCTTCTGTACCACCCGGACCAGCCCCCATTCCAGGGCGTTACAATGTATGTTGGTCCCGTTGTTATTTCAGGGTTGTTCTACAATGCCCAGGACATGCTTCTGTACCACCGGACCAGCCCCCCATTCAAGGACATACCATGTATGTTGGTCCCGTTGTTATTTCAGGGTTGTTCTACAATGCCCAGGACATGCTTCTGTACCACCCGGACCAGCCCCCCCATTCCAGGACATACCATGTATGTTGGTCCGTTGTTATTTCAGGGTTGTTCTACAATGCCCAGGACATGCTTCTGTACCACCGGACCAGCCCCCATTCCAGGGACGCTACAATGTATGTTGGTCCCGTTGTTATTTCAGGGTTGTTCTACAATGCCCAGGACATGCTTCTGTACCACCCGGACCAGCCCCCCCATTCAAGGACGATACCATGTATGTTGGTCCCGTTGTTATTTCAGGGTTGTTCTACAATGCCCAGGACATGCTTCTGTACCACCCGGACCAGCCCCCATTCCAGGACATACCATGTATGTTGGTCCCGTTGTTATTTCAGGGTTGTTCTACAATGCCCAGGACATGCTTCTGTACCACCCGGACCAGCCCCCCCATTCCAGGACGGACAATGTATGTTGGTCCCGTTGTTATTTCAGGGTTGTTCTACAATGCCCAGGACATGCTTCTGTACCACCCGGACCAGCCTCCCCATTCCAGGATGTATGTTGAGCTGCCTGGGATACTCCATCTTCCTTACGAGAATCATTTTGTGAAGACCCGAGATGGCACTCAGATCAACGTGGTGTTAGTGAAGCAATCCCATCTAGATGTGCCAACTGTTGTCTTCTTTCATGGAAATGCAGGCAATATTGGACACAGGTAATTATAAGTATTATGAATATCCAGTTTAGAACTGATCTTCAGTAGCCAATGCTTATTGGAAGCGGTGACCAATAGGAACGGATGGTAAGGCTAGAGGACTTGGTTGACACAAATCACTGTGTCCCTGTTGTGTAGATCTATGTTCATGCTGTTGATTACTGCATTGTCTGGTCCAGACTATTATTTACAGACCACCACCATATGGCTGGATTATTGCTGAGTGCGGGGTTAAATAACAAGCAAACACATCTGTGATGTATAGAGGGAATTTATGTGGTCCTGTCGAGAGCCTGATATTTGGCTTTGAGTATAAAGCAAATGTCAGTAAATTTCCCAAATTGGGACTTAACATTTGCCAAGTCATGTTATAATAGTATGGTGTCTAGTATAAACAACCTTGACCAGCTATCAAGTGTTTGGTTTCATTCAAGAGAGATAACTCCGTTAATCATTTTTCATTAGTTTGCAAAGAGTTATCCCCCTTTGTTTACTTGCTAGCAGACGACATTTTCAGTGATCCTCAGTATGGATGATTTAGAGAAGTGGAAGTTGATTTTAGAGTATTATAACAAGGACATCAGATCAGCTAAAGTGATTTCCAGTAGAACAGGCATCCCTTTGTCCACTGTTTATCGTGTTTTGAAAAATATTGCAAATGGATACGGCATTGAGCACCAGGGAGGCGCAGGTAGGCACAGAAAATTAACTGTCGGTGACAGGAGGCGGCTTGGTATTCTTGTTTCTAAAAGCCAACGAAGGAGTTTAGAAAACTTAAGGCTGAATATGATTGATAGAGGAACTGTGGCTGTCTGTAAGGAGACAATTAGAACTGAGCTGCATGCAATGGGTTGGCAAAAAAGTCGAGGAATTCCATCACCGATCATGAAACCTGAACAAAAGGAGCGAAGGTTGAACTGGTGCTTATAGCATAGAAATTTTACCTGGGACAATGTGATTTTCTCAGATGAAAGTTCTGTGTGGCTGTTTCCTAATACACTGAAATTCTGGACCAAACAAACTGAAAAACTTTTGTATCAGCGCCCAAAGTACAGTCCGAAATTTAACGTGTGGTGTGGCATATGTGTGTTAGGGGCAAAGCCCCACTGTGTATTTGAAGGGAATATGAACAGTGAGCAGTACACAGATATTCTCGAGGGACATTTACTTCCATCTGCTCACCGGTTCTATGGAAATTGTTGGATTTTCCAGCAGGACAACGACCCAAAACATCGTTCAAAGCATTCACAGGCCTGGTTTTGGACCCAAAATACAACATTATTAGATTGGCCAAGCTATAGCCCTGACCTAAATCCAATAGAAAATGTTTGGGGACTTATGAAGGAAAGTGTCAATAAGAAAAATCTGACAAATACTGCTGAAATGAAAGAAGTGGTCCGATATTGGGACAGCATGGACCACGACTTTCTAACTTCTTTGATCAGTAGTATGCCCAACCGCATTGAAGCCTGCATTGCTGCCCATGGTGACTTGACAAAATACTAACTGTTCACCTGTCTTTGAATCTGGAGTTATGTTCTGCTAATATTCACATTTAATATGTGAGTAATGAGTGAAAAAAATGAAAAAGTTGCAATCTTTAAATTCTCAATAATTTCTGGTTGTACGGTATCATGATTGTGGTGTAGCTTATGTTGTAAGTTTTGCAGCATTTGCATTTCACTGACATCAAGACCAGAAACAAGAAGATTTTTAAATGTCTTGTTTTACTTTCTTCTTTGAAAGAAATGTTAGCATACACCTGTTTTTAAGAAAAAAGGAACTTTGTTGCACTTTCGAACAAATTTATCTTGTTTTTTTTCCCCCAATTTGTCTACCAAAAGCACTTACTCTAGAATCATTTATAAGCATTTGAGAGTTTATTACTAATCATTCATGGTCACTCCTATTCCATATTTTATTCCATATTTATTTATTTTCATGAAATAGTAAAGGGGAGATAATTCATGGTCATGATGGAGATAGCATCAGATCATAGGTTTTTGGATATCTGGTTTTAGTCGTGCTATAACAAGTTGGCGTGTATCACACATGCTCGGATGATAGGGTTATGTTTAAGATAAAGTTGTCCATAGTAAATTAGCGACATGTTTTACAATTGTGTATGTGGTAATCGAGACAACAACAGATGTGCTTAAGCCTCTGATAATTCTTGTTGTGATGGATATGGTTGGGATGAGTGAAGAGAATGTTTTGTTTTTGGTTTCAGGTTGATGAATGTCCTCGGCCTGTACTCAGCTTGTAAATGTAATATAGCTATGGTGGAATATCGGGGGTACGGAAAAAGTGATGGATCACCATCAGAACATGGTAGGTTGGAACTGTATTCATGCAAAACACCTGTCCTTTTGAGCTAATAACTGGTGGTATCAATAACATAATTGTCATCCTTTTCATAACTTCTATCTTTAAATGTCCTGTCACCCTTCATGTACTTTGGCATTGAATGTGCCTGTAGTTTGATTTAATGGAGGTAATTCATCATTGTGAAATAAGATAGGGGGACCCACCTTAACGCTGAATATGTTGAATAAGAATATTTCAGCTTAATATGTCCAACACAAATTCTCTGCTAACTTTGTTGTCTAGTGTAGAGAATTTGCCTGGAGTGCTGAAGGTTAAAATTTGACACTCAGATTCAGCATACCAAAATATATTCAAAGATGGTTAATTGTTGTTTTCCTGCCCGGTGCACAGTATTAAATTGATCAGTTTGGGGTCAGCGCAGCACTCATGCAGATGTTTATATACCTTTCCTTCCTTGCAATTTCAAGCCACATTTTCTGCACTAAAATAGGAGTTAACTGTGGCACGTATAGGTTATCCAATCACAGAATGTTTTACAAAATCTACACCCATGTTCTGAAAACATAGTCGCTGCTATGGTCACAGCCATCTCCTGTTGCAGTAAAAACATTTCAATAATTTCGCCCACACAAATATTTTGGAAGTGGTTCACTGTTTACGATCAATTCACTCACATATTTATATATATTTGAGTGCAAACTTAATTGATTTTATACTCCAAATGACTGAAATCTTATCACAGTCACTGAGAGACAATGCTATTTTTAGATAAACTTCTGCTGAGCTTTTCATGTTTATGTTTTGACCCTCCTTGTCATCACTGTGTAAATCTCTTGTAGTGGTTTTCTCACGATAGGGGTGGTCGGGTAGCCTAGTGGTTAAAGCATCAGCTCGTCACGCCAAAGACCCAGGTTCAATTCCCATTTCTGGTGTCCCCTGCCGTGATATTGCTGGAATATTGCTAAAAGCGGAGTAAAGCCCAACTCACTCACTCACTCTTCTCACGATATTTCAGGGATGTATGATGATGCGGAAGCAGCCCTTGACTTCGTCCTCAACAGGAGCGATATAAATAAACGGAAAATATTTATATTTGGACGTTCTCTAGGGGGAGCTGTTGCAATAAACCTTGTTTCCAAGGCCTCCTATAGCAACTTAGTAGCTGGACTGATTGTAGAGAATACATTTACCTCACTGCCAGATATAGCAAGAGTTTTATTTCGCTTCAAAATATTGGATTATTTACCGTTATGGTGTTTCAAAAATCAGGTGAGTACCTTAAGATGCATGTTAATGCTAAAAGCAGGGATGAATTAATCAATATATTTAATGTCAAATTATGTCAGGTTATGTGATGTTATTCGTCCTTTGTCATGTTGCTTATGTGAATTTTAGAAGATGTAGAGAAACCGGTATAAATAGGTTGTTTGTAAATATGTAAAAGACCAAACTATTTCAAAAATCATAATTATGCATTTAAAAAATATTTAGGAAAATGAACTTTTTTTTCTTTTCTTTTCTTTTTTAACTGGAACTCAAATATGTTCTGTGGCTGCATATTGCTGATGTGACGTTAAAGTCACTCACTCACTATTATGGAACCTCCGTTATTGTTACATGGTTGATATGTGTTTTACTATGAAGGCAAGCAGCTGGTTGAGGCTCCCATGTACCATGTGTCTTGTTGTGCTGTGTTTCAGTACCCGTCCAAGAAGAGGCTAAACAAATCATGTCTTCCCATCCTTTTCCTGTCTGGTCTTGGAGATCAGCTGATTCCTCCACCGATGATGACAGAACTGTTTGAGGTAGGTCAAGATATGTTGCCCATCAATTATCATGGGACCCTCTATTATCGCGGTAGTTAATGTTGTCGCCATCGGGATTATGAACGGCTACTGACATTTAGTATTTTATATATATTTTCAGTTGACTGATGTTTAATCTTCATTTCTGTCACAAATAATGTGACACATGGTCGCAACTCGTTTAATACCATTGCGGCAATTCCGATTGTCTTGTTTGACCCGGAAATGGAAGCAACTCTCTATTATCGCGGTATTGCTATTTTCTTACTATGGCACGCGGTACAAGCAGATGACACTGTGAAACGTTTACTAAGACAAGTAACGAATCTAAATAGTTTGATCATTAAAAAATATTTAGGAATTTCATTCACATTAGTAATATCATCATGCCTTTAACCCAAACATCAGAAACTTCTATTCATTTGGATACAAGGTAACAATAACGTTACAAAATATTGTTTTCCGGCTTTAAACGCATTCATACAAGTTGCTGCCGCGTGCAGAGTGAAAATGCATAATACGCCACTTCCTGTTATATTTTTAGCACGGAAAATATGCAAATGACCATATAGTTGTCACAGGATTGCTCTTGATGAAGTAAGTTTTGATTCATGCTAGATGTAAGGGCAGTAGGGTTCATACTAGTTTCAAAATGTTCTAGAACTTACTGAAAAGATGAATGCTTTAATATAACTCCGATTACACACAACATTCCAATGAAATAAATGACTTTTTCAAGAGCGATGAATATATTTTTCGTAATTTGCATTTGTAAACAGCCGATGCGGGGCGTGGTGTTTCTGCTTTCCCGATGTTTTCGCGTGCCGCGATAATAGAGAGCCCGCGATAATAGAGAGTCCCAGTATATATTGTGTTATTAATACCTAAGTTTCTATAGCTTGGTTTGCAGACTCGGTGTAGGTGGTCCGGGAAAAGTAATCAAGATCCAGATAAGTGCATTCTCTTCCCACAGAGGTTACTTGTCATATCTTCCTACGAACCTCTGTTCTAATACGGCCATATTTCCCGGTTCTCGTAAAATCCCCTAGCGGCAAAAGATCGCAACACGAATTATCTCCCTTCTTTCTATCCAATCAGAACATGTGTTACATCGACTTAGATTCAACTTGACTAACACAAGCAAATGTGGGGCCACAAATATCCCCCATCTGCCGGGGACTTATGTTGATGTTACACACAAGACGTTTAATGGCTAGCTTGTCCGTTGTCAACGAGGGCGATGGAGACGCCACTGATCCGCCATAACATGACTGAGTTCTGTCTAGAAGAAACGTTTGCGCATCGCGCAGGGGAAGAAGTTTAGTTTTCTCGAAGCATACGGAAATTACCGAGGCCTTGCCGGAATGATCACTTTTGAAACAACGTCGCTGATTGCACAACTAAATCTGATTGCCTCCAATCACAGGTCTTGAACGCTCACACCATGAAAGGGCCGTATTAGAACAGAGGTTACGTAGGAAGATATGACAGGAGTAACCTCTGTGGGAAGAGAATGAGATAAGTGCTGCTGTAATAAAAAAGTAACAATTTGGGCAAGATAGTGTGATGCTGAAGGATAACTGATTGTTTGGTTAGAACTGATTACATATACTGATACTGGTACTAGTATCGTCTTTATCATTCACACCCAGGAAGAGTCAGCTTAGAATTGGTCTTCAGCAACCCATGTTTTTCATATGAATTTGACTAAAGGGATCAGGTGGTCAGGCTTGCTGACATGTCATTGTATACTAATTGCATTGATTGATGCTCATGTTGTTGAACTTGTGAAGGTCCATGTTAGAATATTGATCTTCAGTTACCCATGCTTGTCGTAAGAGGCGACTAACGGGATCGGGTGGTCAGGCTTGCTGACTTGGTTGACACATGTCATCGGTTCCCAATTGTGCAGACCGATGCTCATGCTGTTGATCACTGGATTGCCTGGTTCACACTCGATTATTTACAGACCACCGCCATATAGCTGTAATATTGCTGAACTAAACTCACTCACTCACTTATGTTGTTGATCACTGGATTGTCTGGTCGAGGCTTGATATTTTACTGACCACCACCATATAGCTGGAATATTGGTGAGTGTGGCATTAAACAACAAACAAACAGGTGTTGTTCCTAGAGTGATCCTTGTGGAGGTGCCGGGTTGGCTTGGGTGGAATATGTCACAAGCAACCCTGCTATGACCAGGTGGTCGGGCTCCATATTGTATCACTGGATTGTTTGTTGCTTTATCAATCACTGGATTGTCTGGTCCGGAGTTGCATATTTTCAGGCCACATTCGAATGGCTTGAATATTGCTGAGTGGCATTAAACAACTAATATTTCCAAGTAGGCAAATGGAACATATTTTCAGTTTGGGATTACACTTTTTCAGGCATTGTGTGCTTATAGCTTTCGATCATTGGAACTATGCCAATTTACACTTGTCAGAGAGCTGCACAAAATGCTTGATCTGGACTATCAGTTGTAGGCCTTCCATATTTGTCGAAGCTGTTGTGGGTGAGGTGAGGTGAAATGGGGTTTTACGTCACACTTGAGAATATTTGACTCATATGATGACGTGTGTGCGTGTGTATGTGTGGCTGCTTGTACTAGCCCAGACTAGCTGGTTTTATAGTGCAAGCTCACTGAAATACCATACCGCAGTGAAGCAAAAATACCCCACTCAGACACATTATACTGACTCCGAGCCGACCAGTCCTCGTTGTACCCATTAATGCCGAGCACCAGGCAAGGACCAACAAGTACCATATTTTAACGTCTCTTGGTATGACGCGACCGGGGATCGAACCCGCGACCTTCCGCTCTCCCGGGCAGACTCTCTAACCACTACACCATGTAGGCGGCTCGAAATTGTTGTGGCTATGTGGATGAAATTGCTGATCTTATGTGCTGGCAATTAGTTGCATAACTCTTAGAGTGCAGGTTCGAATTCCATATGGGACATATGGGACCTAACCCAAAAAGGTACCCGGTACTCTTTTCATAATCCCAACTATGCCATATGTTAAATATTCCCAGGGTTAGACACAGGAACTATAGTACTGTCGGAAATAGAAAAAAACTGTATTTTCTCATTTATTTCTACAATTTATGTAGTTGATATGTGCAAGTGTGAAATATCTCTTAAACTAAGTCGGCCTAACTACAGTCTCAATGGTAGGGACACAAGAAACGTAGAAAAAGGACTTTATTGAGGAGCGATTAGTGCAGAAATGAGCAATGCGATTTTTTTCTAAGTCCAAAACGAATTATTTGGAACAGACCATGGCTGTTTGCAAATTAGTGTGCGACGATATTGTATTATAAAGGACACTTTTTTAAGTGATCAATTTGAAATTAGATGTAGCTTCATTATAAATGATAGCTGGCGTAAAAAATAATAACTTTCATGCTGAAACTATTAAGGCTGTAGCTACCATGGAGTCTCACTGTCACTATAAAAAGAAACAGATAGGAGGGTTCGTCTCAAAAGCAAAACCTGGACGGGTGTCGCAGACGATCGTTTGGGTCGGGCTTGGGGATAGACATATCAGCTAAGATACTCGATACGATAATCCTTTAGGGCAATTATACTGGGGAAGTACACGGCATGTCATAACAATTTATAAATAATATCCAGTCCTGTCGATCTTCGCGATCGGGTGGTCATGCCACCTATATATTTTGAGACATTTAATACGATGCATTTCTTTGGTTATCAGGTATCAAACTCTTTTACATATCTCAACATAAACTTTATGAAAGAAAGACACTTAAGCTGTTAATCAATAGATGAGGCAAAGTCAACACACATGAAAAAGCACAAAATAGCTTTGAGATGACCCCTTGGACGCCTGTAGGCAGCACATGCATTTCATGCCAGGTGAGTCGACGGTCTGTCGTCATACCTGGCTGAGCGACCTAATTGCCATCTATAGTCTGATCTATTGTTTTCAGCAGCTATTCTTATTTTTTCGAAGTTTTGCCCGATTTTACGAGTAAACAGGCTTTTCTGGATATCCTATTACGCATCCCACTGAATGCCAAGTTAGGCCGAAGTGGGTTATTTCGACATATGCTATTTGCAGTAGTGTAAATTTTAGGGATACAGAGTAAGAGCCTAAAAACAGTTTTTTTCTATTTCCCACAGTACTATAGTCACTAGAGATGGAACATTTAACACTTGTGTGAATAGAGTTGAGCACTGTGTGCTTCAAACTCCCGCGATGACTGCATGTGTCTACACAACACAAACATTAAAGACTGAATTACCGGGTATAGTACTTGTTTCTGAACATGTATGTCTTTTGTGTGTTTGTTAGAGTTCAAGCAGCCCTCTGAAGAGAATCAGTCGGTTCCCTGGAGGGTCTCACAACGAGACCTGGATGAGCCCTGGTTATTATGAAGCTTGGCATAATTTTCTCAAAGAGGTAAGGCTTGTATCCATAAATCTTGTCAAAACTGAAATATTTGAAATACTGTTCTAAACAGCTCAAAACCCAATTCACTCATTTGTGTTGAAATCCATTGAATTATTTGCTGGTTTAAATCCAAACTAGTGCTCGATCCTTTGTCTATTTATTGTCATACCTTCGTATTTACTTAATGGTAAGTGTCAAAGACTCTGATCTCTCAGGGGCGATGGGGTAGCCTAGGAGTTAATACATTAACTCGTCATGCTGAAGACCCAGGTTAGATTCCCCACATGGGTACAATATTTGAAGCCTATTGCTGGTGTCTCCCAACTCAAACCCAACTCACTCACTCACTCCCCCATCTCATCAGGTTTGTGAAGTTCAGCTCGCTCCCAGTGATCAAAATGAAATTCTATTGGAAACCGTGTTGAATATACTAAAAAATATGTCAATAATAGTAACTTAACATGTTGTTTGTTAAACCACTAATAGACATCAATATGATGTCACTGACAGTCAATGCAATAATGCAACATCCCAATCAGGAAACTGGTTTCGTGGCCTAGTTTCGGAAAGTTCATGGAGACCAAATACTAAAAATGGCTTGGTTAGTCAAATGACAGATTGGCCAGCAGTTGGTTTATATGGAACGATCTGCAATGCCATTACAGTAAGCTAGAATTCAGGAAAATACTCCAGGGATTTACGCTGCCCCTGTTGCACCCATTCTGGTCACTTTTTGAGAACAAAACTATAAGGCAAAAAAAATATATGTCCGTTTCCTATTACATGCTTTTTAAAAATAGGGCTGATGGGTCGATTTTATCTCTTTTTTTACTATTTTAAAAATTTCAAATCTGTTTGTAGCCCCAGGTAGGTACCTGAGTCTGTGTTAAAGGATTCTATATGATGTTGTTACAATGCCTTGTGACAAAACATTAAAAGATTTCTTTATCAAATCATTATTCATGTTATTACCTTAAAGTTACACACAAATATGCAGTAAAGAGGGAATTTATTGTCTGTCATTTTCTGATCAGCTCAGTTGAGCAAAGAACCTTTTGTGAAAATGAACAAAAATACAACAATGATTTGTATGGCTATCTGGCCACTTTATGGGTATCTTGTCACACATACAGGTGTGGTGAAGTCCAGAAATATGTTTCAGGTGTGCGATCGTCCAGTACATGACTCCGGCCACAGTATAGCAGTTCACATGGACAAGGGAGTAAAGGATGTCTGATGTAGGACTGATTGTGATGTAAATATGGCCGACAACTTTCACCGTGAATAATCTCAGCAGAGGAGGATACAGGATTTTGAAAAACGGGGATGGGGTTTTGGTATGCCTGCTGTAGCCATGTCACACGGTGCAGTTTACAAGTAAAGTCACCATAGAAAACGGTCCCCGGATCCGTAGTGCTCAGTCTGAGTCAGTGAACAGATCAGGCAGCAGAGACAGGCTGGAGACATCTCAGCAGTATGTTGTGTTTCTGTATCCTCTTCCCTGTTCTGGGGCGACACATTGATCCTTGTGGGACGTCGGTCGAAATGTCATGAATGTGTGTGGGGATATTTACTCATATTATTATACTAAATGGTTGCTATGACAGCTATGAGAAATGGGGTTGTGAAACATCTGACTGTGCAATTTCTTCACAATACATGAATCTTCATATTTTAATCACCTAATTGTTTCTTAGGATTCTTTCTGGCACATAATGTTTTGCCATTAAAGGTCATGGTCACTTTTATTGAAGCCATCAAGGATAGACATTACAATGTCGATGAAACTCATTCACAAATATTGATTTATTAGGATTACTACATTATTGATGGAAACAGCCTAAAGAATTATAATTCATCTGTGACTGGTAAGAGTGAGTGAGTGAGTTTAGTTTTATGCTGCACTCCGTGACTGGTAAGAAACATTAATTGAATTCTGGATAAAAAAAACAGCTTCATGCCAAAATAATTCGAGACATTGTGATAAAATAGTCTCTTTAGTTGTCATGCATGACGTATGTGACCTTCATGATCTACATGACCTACATAGGAATGTTCAGGTGTCATTTGACTTTGGCTGCTTCTGGCAAGGTCAAGGTCAAGGAAATTATCTGAAGTAAGAAATGTTTTGTGTTTATTATTGGTGATTACGTTTCAACTTCTTTTGCTTCAAGTATCTTCCAAACCTATGACATTTTTGTTCAAATGAAAGTTCTACAGTGTTTTAACTTCTTTGAGTGCCATTAAGAAGTTGGTGCGATGAACACCAAGGAACTGTCGTTCATAGAACTGTCCTTGTTGTTCTACAGTGTTTCGACCAGTATTATTTACACTTTCTACACAGTTTGACAGACCAGTCAGGAAATACCACGATTTGAAAAAGGGTAAATGTTGATACAACTGAAATATTCCTGACTGTGACGTAAAACAATATTCAATGCTCACTGATCTTGAATCTCTGTGTCAATAGACTAAAACTACTGAAATGTTCCCCGACTGACTGTTTTCAAACGTTAGTTAATGCAGTCAGTGCACAATGGTGAAGAAATGTCATCTTTATGGTTGATTCTTTGGAGAAAGTTGAAGCTGAGTTAGATGAATTCGAGGAACTGATATACAGCTGGGTCATGTGTTTCTTATGCAGATGTACTTACAGTTAGTTGACAAGCCATTAAACCCACTGCTTTCTGTTTCATTTTGCAGAAGTCTGGTTTGAATGTCAGTGGTTTCTGGATTGACTAAGTTTATGAATCTAACGCAAAAGGCCCATTAACTATTCTGGCAAGAGTTGTCTCCTCCTTTGTTTTAATGTGACCTTCATTTTCTGATTTATTATCATGATTATAATTATAGTTATGTAAAATCTTCACATAATACATTGTCATTTTAAATATATTGAAATCATGTGTGCTGCTTTAATGCCTTTCACCATGTACATGGTGACAAAATATGGAAAAGTAATGTTCAAACTGCAGGCATGGCCTTTGAGATTTTTGTTACAAAATAACATAGAACGTGTATTAATGGATGCAAGTGTTTTGCACATGAGTGTCTATGATCCAACAATCATAGTATATGTTTTATGGTTAGATGATGATGATGATGATGATTCCATTCATAATGCTTAAAATTCCATTCACAGGTCAATATAATATTGGCTCGTAAAATATCTCCATGTAAACAGTCGGTCATTCTTGCAATCGATCATTGAAAATGGAATGTGACGATATTCAGGTACACACAGAGACAAATCTAGTCCTGTTAACAAATTGATGTCGTATCATTGGGATTTTGAAATTTTCCATGTGTATTTGTTTGTAGGCAACTCCAAATTAATTGGGGTAAAGTAATTAACAGTTCAGGTTTAGGTTGTACATTTTATGCAGATATGCAGCTTATGTAAAGTTCAGCTTACTGAATTAAACAATGGTGTTCAGGAACATGATGTCGATTAGGATGCTGAAATTCAGCACAGGAAATTTAATAATATAATTGGCAGATGCATGTGTAAACTAAAATATGTGAAATGTTAATCTTTAGTGACTTTAAGCCTTACATAACAGCCCCACTCACTGTTGATGTTATGGTATCATTGTCTATGCATCCTTTAATAATGGTGATAATGCCTGCATTCCTGTATGCTGATACACCTAATGTGTACAAATACACCTAATGTGTACAGATACACCTAGTGTGTACAGATACACCTAGTGTGTACAGATACACCTGTGTACAAATACACCTATGGTCCGTTTGGCTCAAAAGCGGACCGATGAATTGCAATCGAACTCGAAAACTAATAAACATAAAATACTCAAAGAAACACTGATCATAATGAAAACGTCAGACCAACTCTGTGAGGTTTCTGCAGAATTTATGTCCTAAAATTAAAAAAGTTGCTTAACAAACTATCATTAAAATATTGACACAGTTCACTATTTGTTACGAGGGAGAAGTGCAGAAAAAGGGACAGCCAAGTGTGCGAGAAAGGATGGAGACTGCACAGCACAGGTTAATAAATCAATAACTTTGTCGGTACTTGTGAACCTGCTTCTCGCACACCTGGCTGTCCCTTTCTCTGCACTCCTCCCTCGTAACAAAAAGTGAACTGTGTCAATATTTTAATGATAGTTTGTTAAGCAACCTTTTTAATTTTAGGACATAAATTCTGCAAACAAATCACAGAGTGGGTCTGACGTTTTGATTATGATCAGTGTTTCATTGAGTATTACACATTATTAGCTTTCGAGTTAGATTGCAATTCATCGGTCCGCTTTTGAGCCAAATGCACTGTAATGTGTACAAATACACCTGTGTACAGATACACCTAATGTGTACAAATACACCTAATGTATACAAATACACCTGGTACGAATACACCTAATATGTCCAAATACACCTAATATGTCCAAATACACCTGTGTACAAATACACCTAATGTGTACAGATACACCTGTGTACAAATACACGTAGTGTGTACAGTTCCACTTGTGTACAAATACACCTGTGTACAGATACACCTAGTGTGTACAGATCGACTAATGTATACAGATACACCTGTGTACAAAAACACCTAATGTGTACAGATACACCCAATGTGTACAGTGTATTCAGTGTAATCATCCTCCTTGGATGACATTGTGCCTTAGAGAAGTTTGGCTTTCTAATCGGCAAGAAATTTAGGCAGTCGGAAGAAGGCGTATTAACTTGCAGTTGAACACTATTGTTGGTTTGATACAGGGAGCAGGGAGTCTTGTCTCAAGTGCATTCTTGATACATCCATGTTTGATAGCAGTGGTGTATGGCTTGACTCTTTCATGACCTTGAAAACAAGTGGACATTGACAACTCATGATTTACTGACCTTGGTGACCGGAAGACAAATATCACCTATATATATGTGAAGGAATACACTCGTCTGTGATCACCTGCCATAATTAATGTGCAACATATATTCATCTTCTAGATGTGTACTTGGCTGGCTCCAAGGTCACATGCTCTGACTGAAGAACATCTGTCTGTGTGGACAACACAATATTTCAGTAACTGAACATCTCTGTAAAGATTCCGGATAAGAACAGCTCCAGCAACCTGATCTCATCATAAGTTGATTGGGTGGTCACCATTTGTGACCTGGTTGATGACATCTGATGACATGGATTGTTGTTAACAATATCAATCAGCAGGCTGTTTGGTCCAGAATAGATTGTAGCAGGTTGCTGTCACATAATTGCAATACTTGAGTGTGAAATCAACCAGCAAACTGCACACACGCTTGAGTTTCCTGTACATAGAAGGAGAGATTCTATAGAGTTAGATGAGGGAGACAAGGGTAAAGTTTGATGGTGGGTTTCTTCTTTTAAAAATAATGTGACCAAAGTTAGATTGTTTAGATGTGTGAAATGTTGTAAGTGTACTTTATAGGATGAGGGGACACTATTCAGCTTGTTTAACCCTAAAGATGAGAATATTTATGAACATCCACTTTTTATTGTAACACAGTGTTTCCATGTATATTCTTACCCTTTACTGACCATACTGATAAAAGAGTCAAAGAATATTCTCAAACGTTCATTGGTGAAGAAGTAAGAATATTCTCCAAAACATGGTATTCCTTATAACCAAAGTTGACATCCTTGAAATGTTTTCCTTGATGCCATTCAAAGACACAATTTAACCATATATCCAGCACGATATACTACACATTTCATACATCTGGGTAGTAGGCTGAATACATTAAAATCCATTCTCTGAAATGATTTTAAAGTTATTCAATTGTCTTATTAACATTTAATGAAAAGGAAACCAGTGGCTTTCTTCGTTTTCTTCGCAGTAGTGTGGACTTGCCAACTATCGTTGGCTTCATGGTCTGTATTGGATATTGTAGTTTTCGATTCTCGATACAATCTCATCCGTATACTAAATAATTAGGGCATATTACAGTAGGATACTTAAAAAAATTCTGTGAGCAAAATGACAAAGGCAGAAGAACAGGATTGCAGTAGTCTGCCTGTGTATTCAGATCAGTAAGGACAAGTTCATGTCTATATTCTTCATGTCTATACTGGGCCGCAGAAAGGGGATCTGTTTTATCTTGGTGTCTTCAACAAGACTATACCCTCATCCCTTATGTATTTTTCTCTACACTGTTTTCTCTTCTCATCATACAAGGGTTCTAACACTTCCACTCTATACTAGATCACACCTTGCCTTTAGAGGACTTTCTTGGGGAGTGCCAGCATACTGCATGTATTCATAATGTTATGTAAATATTCTGTATACTTTGTTGATTTTTGTGTACATACGGGAACTATTGCTGTGATGTACACTGTTTAATTATCACTGTAGGACGTCATATTCTATCATCCTCGTTTATCAAGGTTATGGGGATCTGGTCCAGGATCTCCTGTTCAGGTGAGCTTTGAATTGATGGATGTGCCTCTCTTAAAGTTTTTTTTTTATGTCTTCATGATGTGATTCACTTTAGGTGGCAGTGTCTTTGTGACAGCGTTCTTATACCTGGTCTAGATAAACGAGGATGCGTTACTCTATGCATTAAAGAATATTATTTATTATAGAGATCTTTGTTTGTTATTCATTGAAAATGTTTAACAGCTAAAAGCTTTAAATCAGCCAAGGTCTTACATGCTGGGACTACAAAATATATAGTTAAGAATTTTCACATGGTGCCAGTTCGTTGGGTGTGAACCCCCATAGGAGAGAGGGGAACTGTATGTCATCGGACCTTTAATGTATATAAGACCATATTCACTCACTCAGACACATCTCAATATCACAATATGGCGGGAATAAAGACTCATCTGCCGTTGGTGATTTTTCGAGTACGGGCCGGTATTTTATGTAGTGCTAAGACCTCGTCAATAACAATATATACAGTCATTCTTGGAGTTTGAGATACACGCCCGTGTCAATCCCGTGAGGATACGGGTTAGAATTGGTCTTCAGTAACCCATGCTTGTTGTAAAAGGCGACTAACGGGATCGGGTGGTCAAGCTCGCTGACTTGGTTAACACGTCATCGTATCCCAAGTGCGTAGAACGATGCTCGTGATGTTGATCACTGGATTCTCTGGGCCAGACTCGATTATTTACAGACCACCACCATATATCTGCAATATTGCTGAGTGCGTCGTTCAACACCAAACCAGCTTCACACCCCTGCGCTTCCGAAAACTAAATTTCGTTTCACAGGGAAGTATTGTAGATTAAATGAGAATGAAAATGCACCTTTATGAGAAATGCATCGGATATTAATTGAGTTATTTCAAAAAGAACTAAAAAATCAAAAGTTTGCAAATACATGCTTTTCATTTATTAATCCATAACTCCAGTTTTCCTAATGTCCTGCTTTGTTCAGGATAATGAGAAGAAGCTGTCCAAACACGGAAAGGGCCAACTTGAATTTACCAAGATTTTGTAATGATAAAGGAAAGTCTGATTTAACAATAACTCAAGGTGAAGGTCTGTGTCATCTGTCCCTGACAGACTGTCTACAGGGGGTAGGCCGAGGCGACCTGAGGCCCCGACTTGTGAGAGACATCCCACGTCTGGATGCTGATAGGGTGGCCGTCCATGGTGAAGGAGCAGACAGCGTTGGGGCGCATCAACGCGCAGATTGAGTATATAGCCATGTCGAACTCGGGACTTGTCGCCACAAAGAAACTCCCCTTGCTCTTTCTGAGGCCGTTCCAGGTGAACTGCGCGCCTACAATTTCAGGCTGAAAGACAAATTGATCTCTTCATTAAAGATGTAGGCAGAGAAGCGTGTATCTGGCAGTTAGTATGTGTTATCATATCCTCTCATATGTACATAATGTATTATCAGCTTTTCCAGAGGACGTGAATTTGGCTGCTGGCCATCCTGTTAGATAAGAACAAGTTTCAGATATGCGCTGAAGGACTTCCTGGACACTTCAGTGTCTCCGATTAAAATCGCTACAACTTGATATACAATTTAAGTATCGACTTAGCCGTCTCTTCCTCAATCTAAGGATTCCTATCGATGACAAAATGTGGAGTAGAAGTGTACGCACTTTAGCAAGGACGTGCATTCCTGACTGTTTGAACTTTATTCTAGTTTAATCATTTGCAAATTACTACTGGACGCTTAATCCAACTAGTTAGAAGGTTTGTCCAAAATGCTTTTACTTAAGATAACTACGTACATTAGTCATGGAGACGTGTCATTGGATAATTACGTGAAATCGCCTGCGACACGTACACCTTTTTGTCGACGTACATTAATTATTATTAGCCTACAACACGCATTCGTTGTATTCTATGTACAATAGCACGTGAAACGTATCCATTGTATTCTACGTACATTTGCGCGTGGCATTCATTACTTATTCTAGGTAGTCTGTGTACGCCCCCTGACACCCATCCCTGGCTTTATACTGACAGTAGCACTTTACACTTTCCCTGGCTATATACAACACACATGAACCCATGACACGTATTATCTTTAGCCCATTTACATTAACTCGTGGAACGTATCAATTGTAGTAAGTACATTGGCTCGCGACACATATCCCTTGTAGTCGATGTTTTTTTCCTTCTCCTCCAGGTAAAACTGAACCCAGTTGTGGAACCCGCTCACTCCATCCTTGTATTCCCCAACCATGACGTGTTCGAACCCGGAACTGTCAGTCGGCCCCGAGCTGGAGCGCGGGTACAGATTAAACCAAAGCTCCTTCAGGAGGTCCCGGAAGTCCTCCGCATCGGTCGTCTTACCTGTTGACAGAGTTAACAACTATTAGTGACACCAGTCTTGCAACATGCATGAGTCTGATATGGAGTGTGAGTGAGTTTCAGCAATATTCCAACAATATCACTCTAGGGAAGCATAAATGGGCTTCACACGCTTAACCCATGTGGGGAATCGAACCCGGGTCTTCGACGTCACATGCGAACACTTTAACCACTAGGCTACCCCACCACCCCTACTATTGAAACCCGATACCTGGTTTAATTAAATGTTTAAAGAACTTCAAAAGCAGAACTTTGTCAAAGCTTAGCAGTAGCCGTTGATATCACTGATTCAAGTGGTACAAGATCAAGTGAATGTCGGCAATGGATTGTTTTACTTTATGACAGTACACTAGTGCAGCTCGTGATTCTCCGCAAAAATACAGTAAATATTTAAAGGAAGGTCGGGATATTCATGAGCAGATTAGGACTGATAGGTTTGTTGAGAAAGAATAATTTGTTCCAGAAAAAAAGTAAGTTGTCTACGGGTTTTATCTGAAAACATATAAGGCTCTCAGAATAGCAGAACATTATGTGTGTCGGTATAACCAAAACTATCCTGTCTCTAACATGAGTAGGGCATCTGGATATAGCTTGCTCAGACTATCAACCACTGGTATAGCTTGCTCAGACTATCAACCACTGGTATAGCTTGCTCAGACTACCAACCAATGGTATAGCTTGCTCAGACTAACAACCACTGGTATAGCTTGCCCAGACTAACAACCACTGGTATAGCTTGCCCAGACTAACAACCAATGGTATATCTTGCTCACACTATCAACCACTGGTATAGCTTGTTCAGACTATCAACCACTGGTATAGCTTGTTCATACTATCAACACTTATTATAGCTTGTTCAGACTATCAACCACTGGTATAGCTTGTTCATACTATCAACACTTAGTATAGCTTACTCAGACTATCAACCATTGCTATACCTTGCCCAGACTACCAACCACTGGTATAGCTTGCTCACACTATCAACCATTGCTATACCTTGCCCAGACTACCAACCACTGATATAGCTTGCCCAGACTACCAACCACTGGCATAGCTTGCTCAGACTATCAACCGCTGGTATAGCTTGTTCAGACTATCAACCACTGGTATAGCTTGTTCATACTATCAACACTTAGTATAGCTTGCTCACACTATCAACCATTTGCTATACCTTGCCCAGACTACCAACCACTGGTATAGCTTGCTCACACTATCAACCATTGCTATACCTTGCCCAGACTACCAACCACTGGTATAGCTTGCTCACACTATCAACCATTGCTATACCTTGCCCGGACTACCAACCACTGATATAGCTTGCCCAGACTACCAACCACTGGTATAGCTTGCTCAGACTATTAACCACTGGTATAGCTTGTTCAGACTACCAACCACTGATATAGCTTGTTCAGACTATCAACCACTGGTATAGCTTGTTCATACTATCAACACTTAGTATACCTTGCTCAGACTATCAACCATTGCTATACCTTGCCCGGACTACCAACCACTGATATAGCTTGCCCAGACTACCAACCACTGGTATAGCTTGCTCAGACTATCAACCACTGGTATAGCTTGGCCAGACTATCAACCACTGGTCAACCATCAACCACTGGTAAAGCTTGGCCAGACTATCAACCACTGGTATAAGCTTGGCCAGACTATCAACCACTGGTATAGCTTGCTCAGACTATCAACCACCGGTATAGCTTGGCCAGACTATCAACCACTGGTATAGCTTGGCCAGACTATCAACCACTGGTATAGCTTGCTCAGACTATCAACCACCGGTATAGCTTGGCCAGACTATCAACCACTGGTATAGCTTGGTCAGACTATCAACCACTGGTATAGCTTGGCCAGACTATCAACCACTGGTATAGCTTGCTCAGACTATCAACCACCGGTATAGCTTGGTCAGACTATCAACCACCGGTATAGCTTGTTCATACTATCAACACTTAGTATAGCTTGCTCACACTATCAACCATTTGCTATACCTTGCCCAGACTACCAACCACTGGTATAGCTTGCTCACACTATCAACCATTGCTATACCTTGCCCAGACTACCAACCACTGGTATAGCTTGCTCACACTATCAACCATTGCTATACCTTGTCCCGGACTACCAACCACTGATATAGCTTGCTTCCAGACTACCAACCACTGGTATAGCTTGCTCAGACTATCAACCACTGGTATAGCTTGTTCAGACTATGATATAGCAACCTATCAACCACTGGTATAGCTTGTTCATACTATCAACACTTAGTATACCTTTGCTCAGACTATCAACCATTGCTATACCTTGCCTCAGACTACCAACCACTGGTATAAGCTTGCTCACACTATCAACCATTGCTATACCTTGCCACTGGTATAGCTTGCTCAGACTATCAACCACCGGTATAGCTTGGCCAGACTATCAACCACTGGTATAGCTTGGTCAGACTATCAACCACTGGTATAGCTTGGCCAGACTATCAACCACTGGTATAGCTTGCTCAGACTATCAACCACCGGTATAGCTTGGTCAGACTATCAACCACTGGTATAGCTTGTTCATACTATCAACACTTAGTATAGCTTGCTCACACTATCAACCATTTGCTATACCTTGCCCAGACTACCAACCACTGGTATAGCTTGCTCACACTATCAACCATTGCTATACCTTGCCCAGACTACCAACCACTGGTATAGCTTGCTCACACTATCAACCATTGCTATACCTTTCCCGGACTACCAACCACTGATATAGCTTGCCCAGACTACCAACCACTGGTATAGCTTGCTCAGACTATCAACCACTGGTATAGCTTGTTCAGACTACCAACCACTGATATAGCTTGTTCAGACTATCAACCACTGGTATAGCTTGTTCATACTATCAACACTTAGTATACCTTGCTCAGACTATCAACCATTGCTATACCTTGCTCAGACTACCAACCACTGATATAGCTTGCCCAGACTACCAACCACTGGTATAGCTTGCTCAGACTATCAACCACTGGTATAGCTTGGCCAGACTATCAACCACTGGTATAGCTTGGCCAGACTATCAACCACTGGTATAGCTTGCTCAGACTATCAACCACTGGTATAGCTTGGCCAGACTATCAACCACTGGTATAGCTTGGTCAGACTATCAACCACTGGTATAGCTTGGCCAGACTATCAACCACTGGTATAGCTTGCTCAGACTATCAACCACCGGTATAGCTTGGTCAGACTATCAACCACCGGTATAGCTTGGCCAGACTATCAACCACTGGTATAGCTTGCTCAGACTATCAACCACCGGTATAGCTTGGCGAGACTATCAACCACCGGTATAGCTTGGTCAGACTATCAACCACTGGTATAGCTTGCTCAGACTATCAACCACCGGTATAGCTTGCTCAGACTATCAACCATTGCTATACCTTGCTCAGACTATCAACCACTGGCATAGATTGAATATCGCTCAATGTGGCGTTATGCTTTATTGCCATATATATGTAATATACAGTTACCTTCATTAAGCAAATAGTTGTAGGCCTTTTGCATGACTGACGTAGCCAGTATTTCGTCCAGGAAGCTGTTTATCTCCGCCCACTGGGCACTGGTCAGCGACTCTGACTGGCCGATGTTTGGGTTGTAGTTGTCCAACAGCGGGATGAGGCGGGCAAATGTTGGACGTGAGGAGAAGATAGCATCGTTCACAAACCTGAAGAACCTGCGTTGAAAGTGAGTGAGTGAGTTAAGCTTTATGCCGAACTCAGCAATATTCCAGCTACATGGCGGATGCCTATAAATAATCGAGTCTGGACCAGACAATCCAGTGATCAACAGCATGAGCATCCATCTGCGTAATTGGGAACCGATGTGTCAACCAAGTCAGCCATCCTGACCACCCAATCCCGTTAGTCGCCTCTTACGACAAGCATGGGTTACTATGATCAATTGTAACCCGGATCTTCACGGGTATGTGTTGAAAGAGACAGCCAGCGACCTTTACCATTGTTTGGGCGAAATGAAACAGCCAAGCAAACGAAGGCATGCACTTGAAATTAAAAACGCTATAACAATGCTACTCTGAAAACAGTCCCGAAACACTGAAAATGTAAAGCCCAGGACACCCGTAACTATAATACTCGTTTCATCATCGAGTTTTTAGCCTCCATCGAACATGATGAGATGTTTCCTTTTTTCTGGCGGTTTAATGACTGACTGAGCTTGGTTTTACGCCGCTTTTAGCAATATTCCAGCAACATCACGGCGGGGGACACCAGAAATGGGCTTCACACATAGTGCCCATGTGGGGATTCGAACCCGGGTCTTCGGCGTGACGAGCCAACGCTTTAACCATTAGGCTACCCCACCGCCCCGGCGGTTTAATGAACTCTCTGCTACAGCTGCGAATGGAGTAAGATTAAGTGAATTGGGAATACGATAAAATAAATCCAAGGACTAGTGTGAACAATTTTGCCAGAATCTGACGTAACAGACTGACGGTTATTTCATCGTGTGGAGCTACAAGTCATCCGTTCCCCTTACTTGTCGGAAGAGCTGACAAGGTAATTTGTGTGTTTCGATAGCGCCAACCGTTGCTCAAGTAACCTACCACGTTTTTAACTAGCGGCCGATTTAGCTAGAAACTGATTTGCTTCACCTACACTATCACTGACTGTGTCATAGCACAGCACTGACTCACTCATCCCGGAACTCGTCAATACAAGATAACCAGCTAACTATGGACTGAATCCTAATCAGCGAAACGAAGTCCCAACATTTTGAACTGTGAAATGTACTTGGAATCATCACTCCCCACGCCATCTTGAACGCTATTCTAATGGATCGTCGAAAGTGACTACAGAATAACTCCGGACATCGGATGTGGATGTCGTAATGGTTGATGAAGCCAATCAGCTATGTTTTGGCATAAACATCGACGTGTTACTAGATAGGTTGGACAGAAGAACTGAACAAATACTGGTCGATTTGTAATGGGGATTGACTGCTTCCAATGATTCGCGAAGGTAGATCTATTAAACACACGTCTGGTAAGGGTGGAAGCAAGGCTTTGTTATATGCTGGTGAACACTCTTGCCACTGGAAGATAATCGTTGTCACACCTCGGATTCCAGATTGGTGTAATGTGTACAACACACATCTAACCGACACAGTGACGCCATAACACATTCAGATATACTCACTTATCCACGAGATACTACTCCACCAACACATCCAGCTGTAACTGACGGAGATACTACTCCACCAACACGTCCAGCTGTAACTGACGGAGATACTACTCCACCAAAACGTCCAGCTGTAACTGACGGAGATACTACTCCACCAACACGTCCAGCTGTAACTGACGGAGATACTACTCCACCAACACGTCCAGCTGTAACTGACTGAGATACTACTCCACCAACACATCCAGATGTAACTGACATAGATACTACTCCACCAACACATCCAGCTGTAACTGACGGAGATACTACTCCACCAACACATCCAGATGTAACTGACCAGCTGTAACTGAGATACTACTCCACCAACACATCCAGCTGTAACTGACGGAGATACTACTCCACCAACACATCCAGATGTAACTACTACTCCACTAACACGTCCAGCTGTAACGGCTGAGATACTACTCCACCAACACATCCAGCTGTAACTGACTGGAGATACTACTACTCCACCAACACATCCAGAATACTGTAGCTGTAACTGGCGGAGATACTACTCCACCAACACATCCAGAAGATACTACTCCACCAACACATCCAGCTGTAACTGACGGAGATACTACTCCACCAACACATCCAGCTGTAACTGACGGAGATACTACTCCACCAACACATCCAGCTGTAACTGACGGAGATACTACTCCACTAACACGTCCAGCTGTGACGGAACTGACGAGAACTACTACTCCACCAACACATCCAGCTGTAACTGACGGAGATACTACTCCACCAACACATCCAGCTGTAACTGACGGAGATACTACTCCACCAACACGTCCAGCTGTAACTGACGGAGATACTACTCCACCAACACATCCAGCTGTAACTGACGGAGATACTACTCCACCAACACATCCAGCTGTAACTGACGGAGATACTACTCCACCAACACATCCAGCTGTAACTGACGGAGATACTACTCCACTAACACGTCCAGCTGTAACTGACGGAGATACTACTCCACCAACACGTCCAGCTGTAACTGACGGAGACACTACTCCACCAACACATCCAGCTGTAACTGACGGAGATACTACTCCACCAACACGTCCAGCTGTAACTGACGTAGATACTACTCCACCAACACATCCAGCTGTAACTGACGGAGATACTACTCCACCAACACGTCCATACTACTCCACCAACACATCCAGCTGTAACTGACGGAGATACTACTCCACCAACACGTCTAGCTGTAACTGACGGAGATACTACTCCACCAACACATCCATCTGTAACTGACGGAGATACTACTCCACCAACACATCCATCTGTAACTGACGGAGATACTACTCCGCCCAAAATATTCACTCACGGGTCTGCTGCACTGTCGCCTGTGTTGCTTGAGCTGACCTGTCCCTGATAGTTGACGTCGTAATCTGTGACGGAGACGCGGTTGACGTCGAGATTCCACAGTTGATCCGCCACACTGGATAGGCTCTCACCCCCCGAACCACCTTCAAATAACACTTTGTCACTTATCGACAGATGATGGATATATATCATGTGAAGTTCGGGCGAGTAAAGATGTCAGAATCTCTTGAAAAAGGGGAAGTGGTAATAATTGGTTCTGGGCCTAGATTTCCGATGCTCTCTTAGCGCTAAGATAGTCGTAAGTTAATGTTAATGTATGGCTGTTACGACTATCTTAGCGCTAAGAGAGCTTCGAAAATCTAGGCCCTGTTTCGGTTCTACAGAGTTGAAGAAATATTTGTATACAAACACAACTGTATACAAACATACTCATAAAATGCCACCAACATTCTAAATTATTCATTACTGTAAACGCTTACCTGAAACCGGATAACACTATTCGTTGTGTCAAATGTATTGAAAAGGTAAAATATCACAGTTGTCCTTTCAGCTGGTCAAAGTATGAGATATTTGAAACCTTCTTACAAGTATGTACGTAGATATATCCGACTGTAGATATATCCGATTATAGATATGTCCGACTACAGATATATCCGACTACAGATGTATCCGACTGTAAATATATCCGACTGTCAATATATGCCGCTACAGATATATCCGAGTGCAGATATATCTGACTGTAAATATATCTGACTATAGATATATCCGAATGTAGATATATCCCACTGTAGATATATCCGACTACGGATATGTCCGACTGTAAATATATCCGACTGTAAATATATCCCACTACAGATATATCCGAGTGTAGATATATCCGACTGTAGATATATTCCATTACAGATATGTCTGACTGGATATATATCCGACCGTAGATACATCCGACTACAGATATATCCGACTACTGATATATCTGACTGTAAATATATCTGACAATAGATATATCCGACTGTACATATATCCCACTACAGATATATCCGTCTATAGATATATCTGACTATAGATATATCCGTCTATAGATATATCCGACTATAGTGAGTGAGTGGGTGAGTTTAGTTTTACGGCGCACTCAGCAATATTCCAGCTATATGGCGGCGGTCTGTAAGTAATCGAGTCTGGACCAGACAATCCAGTGGTCAACAGCATGAGCATCGATCTGCGCAATTGCCGACTATAGATATATCCGACTACAGATACGTACCTCCAGCACACAGACTATCGTAGTCGGGGCAGCAGTTGCCGTAGCTGACACAGGCCGTGTTACACTGGCATGGCATAGAGCTGTCGAACCCAGCGTCGCACCGACCGGAACATGTCGCTTGATAGGAACAGTGGGTGATTATTATGTTAATATTTTTTAATATTTTGTCAAGGTTTAGTAACACTACAGCAATATAACGACTGGAGAAATCGGAAATGGGCTTTGCGTATTATGCTCATGTCGAAAAACGAGAAAACGCTTAACCACTAGGCTACCCTTCCGTCCAGCAGACAATGAAGAGCATTTCAATGGTACATTGTGTTCGAAATGTGGAAATGTGGAGTGTTTTACATGAACTCATTGGAAATGTATATTTACCTGAGGTGAGGTGAAATTGGGTTTAGTATATTTACCTGCAACACACACCTGCTGGTAGTCCTCGCAACAGTCGCCGTAGGTGATACAATGGCTGTTACACTGACATGGAAGGGTCGGGTCCAGCGAGGCACCACATCTTCCCTCGCAGCTCTCTACAACACACACATGAGGCCTCATGGTCGCTGATGTCACGACACTTTGGCCGAAAATACACCCAGCAGAAAATGGGTACCCGGTGGGATAAGACATATGACTATTAACCTTCTAGCGCCTCACAGGTAGCTTGGGTTATTCGGGGTAATAATAATCAGATTGTGCTCTTTGAGGAGGATATAAAGCTTGTGAAGGCGCTTTATAAATATTCTCATACTTGGTACCATTAGTTTTAAACTGATACCACAGGTTAAAAACTTGACACGATAGGTCATAGATCTATCACAATACCTCATATACTTGACACCAACGTGATGCACTTGACACTACAGGTTATTACACCTATAGGTTACTAGTATATACCGGACACTATGTAAATAGGTCAAAACCGTGACACTATCACACACTTGTCATCATGCCTTATATACTTGATGTCGTCTGTGATACAAGTCGTACTTGATTCAGTAGGGTGTAATCTTTACACAAGATGGTAATATTTTATCCTCCAATAGGAAGTTTGGGCTAAATCTTGAATTTAAATATAACTTCTTTGAGAGGCATACAGCTTTTGGAGTACAAAAGAAATATGGATGAACAACTTCTGTATTTACAATGAAGAGCGACGCTTATTATATTGATTCCAACACCGTTATCAAGCAAGTGATGGACAACGGTGTCAACGAAACGTCGCTCCTCGTTGTAAATTAAGAAGTTGTTCATTCATATATCGTATCCTTACTTAGTGAACGTAAATATAGTATGATATATAAAAATACCAAAAAGAAAATACAATACACAACATATATAAACGACGTAAGTAGGATTTTGTACAGCACTAAGTATGCAACAAAACTAATAGTCAAACAATAAGTAACAGTATTAATCTAAAACGCATCTTTGAAAACAAATAATCTCGGGTATTTGATTATGCGGACTATACACCGTAAAATTTAAAGCACTAAAATCTAATAGAGAGCATCGTCTGAAAAATAAATAACGGCAATAGTAACACAAATATATGTTCAACAAAGTAATTAATATAAAAATATCTGATACTTTGGGGGATAAAAGACTTACAAGATTAATTTAAGTATGCAGTGAAAGGTACAGCATCGAAAGGGTAACGTGTTGTCAAGAAATATAAAACAACACTTCTTGGGTAAAACAGAATTTGTTCACAAAAATTAGTTGTCAAAAGTTCTTATACCGGCTCTGATAAATGAATTATAGTTCTTATGACACATCACATATATCACGTGAAGGTGTACAAAGCATCCCTTACATCAGCCGCAGTTGTAACACTGCCACGGATATCTGTCAGACAGTAGAGAACCTTCATGGAGAAGACCTTAGAGGAAGACGTCAACTCAGTTGTCTAGGGTAAAGCACGGTGCTTGCGTGGAAACCAGTGATGGGGGACTGATTGGTTCAGCGACGTTTGGTTTGGGTGTTTAACGCCACACTCAGCAATATTCCGACTATATGGTGTCGGGCTGTAAATAATCGAGCCTGGACCAGACCATCCAATGATCAACATCATGAGCATCGATCATTTGTCAAACAAGTCAGCGAGCCTGACCACCCGATCCCGTTAGTCGCCTCTTACGACAAGCATTGGTTGCCGAAGACCAATTCTAACCTTGACCTTCACGGGTCCGGTTCATCGATTTAAGGAGAGTTATACTACAACGAAAGGGTCTGACTATCAGCGTGTACAGGTCAAAGTCCTGCAGACACCTGCATAAGGAAGTCGACACACTTGGCGAAAGCACTTGATGTGACAGACATAACCAGGTTCAAGTGCAAGGGACCAATTTTGTTCTCATGAAGACCTTTTCTAACATACTCTTTCAACACGAGAATACTAGACACATACAGCACGAGTGATAACATAATTGATACAGAATCGCAATATAGAATAAAATGCACCAACGCGGACCTATAAATCGCCACATTGAACATATAGAACACCTATGAGACGACCTGAATCTCCGGGTACGATGTCCAGGGCTATCTGGAATCACAGACACTGTACCAGCTTCCATCATCCAATGGGAGATATCTTCATCCCGTCCATGGCCAGGAGGTGCCAAACAGTAACTGACTTAACAGACATTCGAAATACTGACCATTTCACTTTCCGTGTGGTGTTCCGGGCCCTATATTGTCCTATTCTCAACAGGTGTTCACATGTGCAGTGGATTGCTTCCCACAGCAATAGTGATACGTTTCTTTTTAAGTTGTACTTATTTCACAAAAAAGTTAAGTGCCACTGTCATAGGGCCCACGTGAATCACTGTCGACCACATTCACTCATGTCTGTGAAAAAATAGTACACCAGAATCACTGTCGACTATACTCATGCTCGTATGTGAAACAAATGTACACGCAGTTCACTGTCAACGTCACTTACGCCCGTCTGTGAAACGGTACACATCCATTTCACTGTCATCCACACTCGTGAATCACCTAAGTGGTTACGGTGTAAGACCTGACACTCAGAGATATAACTGAAATACAGCGTTACTCACTCACTCAATCACTAACTCACTCACTTTAAAGAACAAATAAACTTCTTTTTTTTTTACTCTTTTAACTATTACATATGAAAGATTTGTGGTCAGTCTTATGCGGAACACCAAATTCATTCTTTAAAAACTTGTGGTTAATTAGTACCGCGCGATTAAAAGTTGCCCAAAAGTCGCCTGCTTCACTCTCGCCCGCCAACGAAACCACAGACAGGTTACGTAACTCTGTCGCCAGAGCGCTGCAGTGACGTCATATGAGGAACGATTTTCAGTTAGTTGTATAGAAAGTGTGTAGCTCGTCATTTTGATGATTTCTCGACATAAACGAAGACATGCCAAATCGTGTCGTTGTCGTCAATTGCTCCTAGAGGTCGGGCGATGGTGTCGCCATGCACAGATTTCCACAGGACCCCGCAGTTCGTGCAAAATGGGTTATGTTTGTGAGTGCGAAGCGAGCGTTGTGGAAGCCTGAAACTATATCTTACTTGTGTTCAGATCGCTTCACGGAAGTTAAAAAATCAAAACTACTTACTAGTCGTAGTAAAATATGCATATGATTGATGACCATAAAGATTTCCCATGACACAACTTGTAACATAACGATTTCTGCCTCAGAAGCGAGGTTGTGGTCGAGGTAACAATAATACTGTAAGTAGTATTATATTGACACCCACCTCGCTGCCACGAGAGAAATTGTTATGTTATACGCTATGTCATGCAAAATCCTTTTGGTTATGATTCAAATACATATTTTACTACCAGTAGAAAGTAGTTTTGATTTTGTAACTCGGTGAAAACAAACCTAAATAGCATTTAGACTCAGACTGGCGGATGTTCTCGACAGGGCGCCGCCATTTTTGAAAATCGTGAAGTCACGGGCTAAAGTCTGTTAGAATTCATGAGATTATGGTTTGTTTTCATCAAGTTAGAAAATCAAAACTTCTTTCTACTCGTAGTTAAATATGTATTGGAATCATAACCAAAAGGATTTTGCATGACACAACTTATAACATAACGATTTCTTCCACGGAAGCGAGGTGGGGGGTCGAAGTGACAATACTGCGCGATAAATTTCTTGCTACATTCACGTGGTTAACGTCCACGCACCAGTATGTAGATACTAGTCAATGTACGTCTTTATATTTGGTCTTATAATCCTAATTAGTTTATTATCATACTTGTATGCATTTTGAAACTAAATAAAAAGCAGATGATCTGCTGATACTTATAGTGCATTTATAACAGGACTGTAATATCTAGACATTTTATAGTTTGCCAATGTGAATCATAATTCGCACACACGCCCTAGTGTATGTCTCATTACACGTCATGGCGAAAACAACAATTCTGTTGAATGCTACGACAAATGAATAAAGACAAAATGCAAATATTAACATTAAAACAGATTAAATTTATAGGAACAATGCCAGGCTATTACCTTGTTCGAGGAATGTATCCATCAATATCCAAAAAAACGAGTGATATGCTATCCATCTGCAGCTGTTCCAAGTAATGTGTCTTTTAACAGTCTAGTATACGAAAGAGTGATATATCGTTTCAGATATGTCTCATTGGTCACCCAAGATAGCACGCCTGGCAACTGATTGCATAATGTCCGCCATTCTTTAAAAAACAGTAATTTAGTTAGCCAATAATGAGCAATCAATCACTGTATTGGCGGTTAATCCTTTGAAGGAAGGACGTTGTTTTTACGCAGACACAGACACGACAGAGTGTATTCAGTATAGATTAGTAAATCTACATAAATAAACACTACCTTTTGACAAATCCGCTGTGTAAGATAAAAGGTAATTAATCAATCAGCGTGTTATCGGTTAATCCTTTGATCGATGTTTATAATGTTGAATATTTACTCCAGACACAAGAAATGCCAAATGGGAACCTTTGTCGGGTAATCTAAGTGGTGTTACCATTAATTATACCTGTTATAAATTCATTAACTGACCATCAAGTGAATGATGACAAATAACATGTGTAGGTTTATACCACCTAACACGGGTTACAACGAGGGAGTATTAATTGCTGTATTGCATGCAATTTTAATTGCATGTGAAAACTTATGGGCCGACACTGTTTTGAGAATACAAACAGAACTTCATTGTTGCATAACAAATACATATAAGCATTTGCTGTGTGCTAAAACTGTATGTACCTATATACCGAAGTAAAATTTCAGATTCTTCTAGCAATGGCAAAATAGGGTTGTTTAGTTTACCGATTAAAATAAATCAAATGTCAATTTTTAAAATCATACGTAATAGACGTCATATTTTTACATGACATGATTAAATATCGAGGTAAAAAACACAGAAATGGGATCAATTTGGATCAGTCATTATACAAATAAGGCCTAACGACACCAAGCGATTTTGACAGAATCGTCTATGAAAACAAGTTGTAACTCGGAAACTAGGCAAAGCAGGAGACAAAATTATATGACAGAAGATTGTGAGAACATATAGCTTTCATTTTCCACAACAGTTGTCACGATTTCAGGTTTATACAAACCTGTAAACAAGATAATTTACCCCCTGAAATGTAGATGAATTCTGCATCGGCCCTCATATCTATTCCTCATGTGACGTCACAGAGACGCCCCGCTCTGATTGGTTGAAATTTCGTTCGCGGGTGAGAATTGTGGACTGTTGTCAAAAACAACGATTTAAGTTGATTAAAGATCGAAGTGAGTAGTTTTAATGACGGGGTTTCATTTATAGCGATGCCAGTTAGTGATTTATGTATTTGTACCCCCCTAGAGTATATGTGATCTTTAACAGAAACAATACGATGTCTTTGTGTAGTGTTTTATACATGAACATGTTTAGACAGAGCGTCGCTTAAACGTCTACAGAGACGATCGTGTCAGTAACGATTAATTAAGACGGTACATATGTATTGTCGCCTGTGTGGAACTGTGACAATCCAATTAATATCGGTGGAACTAATTTAACTTATTGAACGAGTTCACTCATGGAACAGTGGTAGAGTGTTAACTTACCTTGAGCCGAGGACAGCGAGAAGAGAACACAGATGAGAATGATCGCAGTTACCATGGTGACCCGTGGAATGAACTTCGTTCTGGTCAGATGATACGACTACACTGACCTTTTATGGAACGGTGTATATATACCACTCGGGGTATTAAATATACACATTCACATTAGACTCAAAGATTGACTTGCCCTTAACCTGAATATATTACGGTTATAAGTCTCTGCAATATTTTGTTTATGGCATATTTATTATGCACTGATGCTTGGTCAAGGTCCAAGTTTGAGGTAATTTATTGTGTATTGTATATACTGACTGTTATGAATTATTGAGCTGATTATTCTCAAGATGGGAGAGTCTCTTAGAGGGTATATGTATCATAGGCAAAGATCTAACTCAACAGGACCTTTAAATTCTGGTGTGATTCGGTGTACTGAACCAACGTCATGAAAAAGATTGGATCGTTATACAGTTAAGAATAATCTTGTGCCATCATGATATTGTTCTTCCCAGTCATTCTTTTATATAGGCGATAGAATGATGTTTATTAAAGTGTGAAATGTTATGTACACTTCATGCTGAAACACGTATATAAAGCAATAAAATATTACATCCGGCCAGATATGGCCTACGAGACACTAATCATTAAACCATTTATGTAAAATCATGTCTGGATAAGGTGAATGAAGACATACACCTGCACAATGATGGATGTTAAGTGGAGTAAGAAATTCGTTAGTATGATCTCCACACACACGCCAAGTTACATAGACAATCATGCATACACATGCGCGCCAAGTTACATAGACAATCATGCATACACATGCGCGCCAAGTTACATAGACAATCATGCATACACATGCGCGCCAAATTACATAGACAATCATGCATACACATGCCCGCCAAATTACATAGACAATCATGCATACACATGCGCCCCAATATTACATAGACAATTATGCTCACACATGCACGCCAAATTACATAGACAATCATGCATACACATGCGCGCCAAATTACATAGACAATCATGCATACACATGCGCGCCAAATTACATAGACAATCATGCTCACACATGCACGCCGAGACATACGAACAATCACAAACACTGCCAGCAGATTTATACCCATCCCCTTCATACATTAACCCTCCCCTTGCTATAGTCTACTATACATAGTTTACATTCATGCACAAAAATGTATAGATTGTACATACAACCAGCCAAAGAACACCTCACCCACCCCAGTCCCGACTTACCCCCTACTCCCACCCTACACACACGCGCGCGCACACACATAGCACTCGCACACATAGTACACTGCTCCTCACCGTCACTCTAAAAACGCATTACATATTATATTATCTACCAGAGGAAGAAACACTTATATTCCCCACTGAAATAACACACATGTGTAAGAGCCCACACATATTAAGTGTGTATCAAACACCTTTGGAACCTATGATTAATTGATTTAGAAAGCTTATAGCAGATTTCTTCACATGTAAGTAACGTAGTAAATTATTCATTTGAAGATGAGAATTCTGCCATACATTCAATCATAGCGCTCAAAACATCGTAGAGTAAAGCTGCATACTTGTTAAAATGAAATAACAAGGACCTCAGTCACGAGTTTAAACATAAAGGGCATGATCCTGTATCCTGGATGGGGACAAGAGGACGATAACAGTGGGACAGAACACACAACTGATTGACTGTCCAGCTCCGTTTATCTCGAACTGCGCGCTAAACCGACTATTACACGGGGCGTGTTTGCACGTACCCGTAAGTACTATAAGTGTTTGCACACATGTCATAGGTTCACAGTTGCGTAGATCGATGCTCATGCTGTTGACCACTGGATTGTTTGGTCCAGACTCGATTATTTACAGACCGCCGCCATATAGCTGGAATATTGCTGAGTGCGGAATAAAACTAAACTCACTCACTCACTATTAGTGTTTGTACAAGTCTTAATATGTCTGTAAAACTGTGTGTGTAAAACTGAAGACATGTTTATCGTCAGACAGTTTCACTCACAAGGTTTCGGTGTTCTGGTCCGTAAAGGCAAGGAGAATAAACGTTTGTAATATTTGAGAAATTAAAGATAGACCCCATTCTACAAAAGCGATAGATTGTCGAAGATCTGTCTAAAGTACTGAAGTCTTTCCACTACGACCGTAGAACGTGTTTTTTATCGGTGCCTAGGCCAGTGCGAAAAGCTTTGCTCACATTAATTTGGTGAGGCATTATATCTGGATATGTTGTCTCGTATTTCTTTATTTATCATAAATTCTTAGTCAACCAATGAGGAGAGGCTGGAACGTTATGATCTTAATGATATCCACGCTGATGCAGATTGTTGCCAATATTTTTTCGGCGTAATAACTTCCGACGTCCCCTTCCGAGATATTGGATTATTGCTAGTGATGTGCTCCTTCACAACAGAAACGACGTCATCATCATTTGCATTTTCCAGACCTACTCTTCTTTTGTTTGGGAAGAGGTGAGAGGCTGGCTGTGCCAAATCTGGTGAGCAAGAAAGTTCAGTCAGTTCGAGACTTCATTCCTTCATTGCTGTCATGTCAAAATGACTTGAACATGAGCGCATTGTCCAACTGACAGGTGTTGATGGGCATCAACGACGTTTAGACTTGACAGTCTCGGGCAGTTGTCTAAGCATATTAACATACTGTTTGACATTGATTCCTTGTTTTTTGGAGGCGGTCCAGCAGTATGATTCCTTTTTAATTTCAGAAAACCACAGCCATCCCTTTGCTTCTTCTCCGGAGGTCATGTAAGATGCTCCACTGCTTTATCTGTTGTTTAATTAGTATAAGGCTGGTGGCAAAGGATATCAATGATCCTTGAATGCCGATATGACTGTGGTGTCCGACACAACAAGAAAACCCAGGGCAGATACCCAGGGGTGGTCATCAATACCCCAGACACAACCCAGCAGAAGCGGAATGTCTGGTTCTACCAGTAATAACCAGTCAATGTTAACTTGGATTATAGACTCAGTATAGCAGTGTTTACTTAGTTTACTAAGTTTACTTAGACTGCAGTAACAAATGGACCAGCAGTCTGGGGTCAAAGAGAGTTTTCGTTCATCGAAGCTGTTCAGAATCGAGCAGCCGGTTTCCTTCTGGTAGTTGGAAGATGCGCACTCACTGATGCAGTACCTTGAGACTTGGAATGGCTCCCTGTAGGCATAAATCAGTGCCTAACTGTGACAATGGTGTAGGTTCAAAAACTCGAATGACCAGAGACTAAATAAGAAGATTTTCAAATGGGATGGCAACCTTTCACCCCCCACTACAAAAACTGGACTTTTAGAGTCCATCGTCTGTTCTCCGAGAACAATGGTGATCATCTATATCCACAAGATCACGTTCCACAGTTATCGATAGCCTGGAAGACGCGTATACACGTGCATGGACACACATGACTCCGCACATCGTACTCTTGAAAGCACCCACAGTACTGAGGTATATGTGGCAACCAGACTACCTGTGTGTTACCACGGTGGTGCCTAAGCCATGTTCCGGTGTGGTGTAGCACCAATAAGACTCAAAACAGGCCGACATGAAAATCGTGTGTGCCTCTGTGTATGTACTCAAGCCCTCAAGACGAGATGCATGCTTTGCCACGGTGTATGGTGTATGGTGTATGAAACCTAACATCTGATTTAAGCCAAGAAGCCTGTGCCATATTTCCAAACGCGGTCACATAGTGACAAGCTCTCTTTACCAATAATTAGCTCATGTTTAAATGTGCAAAAACACTGTTTTAATAGTCTCTGGAGACGTAAGTACCTATCATGTAGGTAATGCATCTGCACATATATTACAATACCCTTAATTTATTATAACCTTGTATTTCATGAGGTGTACATAGTTTATACATTGTATACACAAGTCTCTCATAACTCGTACTCGTACGTTATATTCTGATATTCTTTTACATGTATATATGTCTGTCTGTCTGTCTGGTTCTTGATTGTGTGTTTGGATGGCGGATTTCTGGTAGAGTTTGTTGACAGATGTCTGGGGTTCTTTGAGGGTGGTGTTGAGGGGCCAATATGTATGTGTTGCCACAATTGCAGGGTATCTGGTATATACATGATCGGGGATTGGGACTCGAGCTAATGGTGCCTCTTCCAGTGGCGTGCAAGATGTTGCTGGTAGTCTTACCGCTCTGGTGAGTGCGTGAGTTAATATTTAACGTCACATCGGCAATATCTCAGCCATATCGTGGCGAACTTACCGCTCTAAGAGGTGACATCTATGTAAGTTTTGTTCATTATGAGGCTGATAAATCTGATGGCTGACAGGGCCCAGGTAGCGAATGATATGATATATGATATTATAGGATATTTATATAGCGCTGGTGATTCAGATGGGCCGTAGTCGTGGTCTTGGTTTGGAATTCCTGAGGGCGTTGTTGATAAGACGAGGTGGGCAGGATAACCAGTGAGTGAAGAGGTTTCCTTCGCGGCAGAGGGCATCAGGATGGCAACAATCACTTTGATACGTCAAATGAGGGTGGCATTGGTGGCTTGTATTATCTAGGGGTGGTGACAGGAGTTATACTGCATGTACTGGTGTATTTGTGTGTGCTTGTGGTAAAGCAAGTGTTCTTAGTCCATTGATCATAAACTACAAACCGAAAGAGCTTTTATATAGTTAATTTCTGTATATACCGTCTACTTTAATATATGTACATATAATATCATGAATCATTATACCTGTCTTTCATCGTCTCTCATAAATCGCTGGGCGATTGGCTGTGTACCTCTGTTTTAACTTTTGTACTATATGATGGTTTATGAGCATGATTTTATGTACACAGGTGAGACGTTAATAAACATTTGATTGATTGATTGATAGCAGTCCAGAAAAGCCGTCTTAGAAGACCAACAACGACAATCAAACGGCTTAACTCTGGGACGGACGAGCTCGGGTCACACTGGTCACCACCTGAAACAGACCGTAGCCTCTGTCAAAGTCTCTGCCACGCCGTCACTGTCAGCGTTGTTTAGTACTAATCAAACCATTTGC